AATTTTTATATTCACGAGACAACTGACTATGATGATAAACATATTGGCAGGTTGTTTGACATAAGTAGCAACACAGAACAGGGGCGTGTTTGGTATCCCAAAATATGATTATTTAACGAATTTCACCTCTATACAAAGTTGTACCTCTGAGAACTGGTTGTACAAAGAATGCTGTAAACTTGGTTTAGCTAACAAGAGTTTAATTTTTAACCGGTTATGTTCAAAGTACAAATGTCATTTTAAAAACTATGTTTAACAATTAGAATGAAGATATATTATAATGCTTGACATTCTACAGGGTGTCCCATTAGTGCGTAATTGTTCAATATTTCAATTTGTGTTTAAGTACCTACTCGCAAATAAGTTTCAAATAAAAGTTATAGGAATTTAAAAAATATTTTTGGATATACAGAGTATTGCGTTTTTTCCTAGCAAATAAAAAGTATATTTTTTAAATTAAACACCGTTTTTTATTTCTGGTTTAGAATGGTTTGGTAATACTGTTTTGAAACATGTCTTAAATATAACTAATTTTAAGTACAATTTTCTTAATTTTTTTTAAATGCAACACCCTTTATATTATTTTAGCATTAAATTCCTTATGAATTTACCTATTTAATGATACCAACATGTTAGCCAATAACACATATACAGGGTGTACCATCAGTGCGTAATTGATCTATAGCTGTTTTATTATTGGAAATATTAAAAAAAAATTAATATAAGAGTTGTATGATCATATTTAACAATTATTCCTAAATGTACAGGGTGGTCCATAAATGAGTGGCTGACCAAACCTATACATTTTTTAAGCAAAACACCTTGCAGGTAGTTATTCATATTTGATTGTTTTCACATCATTAAACAATTCAAATGGACATTATTTGATGTGTTGTATATAGTGTCAAAATGCGAGGTTAGGATTTTTTAATATATTGTCAAAATGCAAGGTTAGGATTTTTTTAAAATTTTAAAAGGAATACCGTGTATGTTATACCACCAATTAATTAATACCATTTAAAATGTTAAGAAAATCGTAACCTTGCGTTTTAACACACCCTATATACAATCAAATGAATAAAGTCAATTAAAATCGTTGACAATGTGAAAACAATCACCTGTAGGGTGTTTTACTTTAACAAAAATTGGTTTGGTCAGCCCCTCATTTATGGACCACCCTGTATATTTAAGAATAATTGTTAATATGGTCATACAACTTTTATTATATTTTTTTTTCGTATGTCCAATAATAAAACAGCTATAGATCAATTACGCACTGATGTACATGTGTTATTGGCTAACATGTTGGTATCACTACATAGGTAAATTTGTAATTAATTTTATGCTAAAATAATATACAGGGTGTTGCATTTAAAAAAACTGATTAAATTGAACTTAAAATTGGCCATATTTAAGACATGTTTCAGAACACTGCATAAAATACTATTCGTTAACTTAATATCTTATAAGTCTGTATAATAAACTCTTTTGAAATCAATGTAAACCTACCTAAATTATGATAATTTATTTTGGGGACTGCATCGTTCTCTATATTTTATAAAAAAATTAATTTCTTGGCAACCCGGTAATATTTTAAAGAAAACTTCTGGGGTTAAATACAGTATTACCAATCTATTCTAAAACTAAAATCAAATACAGGGTGTTTAGTTTAAAAAATATACATTTTTATTTCCCAGGCAAAACGCAACACCCTGTATATCCAAAATATTTTGAAAATACGTATTTTTTTAATTTATATAACTTTTATTTAAAACTTGTTTGCATCTCTATAACACAAATTGAAATATTGAACAATGATGCACTAATGGGACACCTTGTATATTATACTCTTCACAGTTTATAAAGCTTGATTTTTCCTGAAGATTTCAATTTGATATTGTTTTTTGTTTCTGATTTAAAATTTTTTTCACTATTTCAACCCCCCTTTATCTCATTATTTATTTATTTCCTTATAGAGCTTGCTTAATAAACCTTTCATGTTGATATTGTTTTTTGATTTCTATTTCTTTTTAATTCAACCCTCCTTGGGTTAATAGGTTTTGTCCCCTTTTGGAGCACGATTTTTGCCAAAAATTTAAAGTTGATATTATTCTTCGTTTTTGATTTAGGATTTTTTTTTATTTTAACCGCCATTAATCCCCCATATTTATTCAAATTTTTTTTAGTAATATTTTTCATCTCCTTATAGAGCTTGATTTTATTAAAAATTTTATATTTATCTCTTTTCGTTTTAGATTATTTTTATATTTCAACCCCCCTTAACTCCCCCATTTTTTCAAAATCTTCTTTTAAAATCATTATAACTTAAATTTTTAAAGTTCTGCGGTAATATGTTAAGTAAGTTATAATTTAGGGAATTTATTTCAGATAGACATAACCTAAAACGAGTATTTCTAATACAATGTGAATTACGTGTCTTCTAATTATGAATATCGGACTGTTTCAGTAAAACAGACTATTTCCTATGAATTTCAACAAGTGTATGATGTAGATATAAAGTAGGTAGTGGCATAATTTTAAATTTTTAAATTTAATAAAATGTTGTTGACAATGTTCTCTGAATCCAATGTTAGCCATAATTCTGATAGCTTTTTTTGCATCAGGAAGATTTGAATAGATTGAGAAGAGTTTCCCCAAAGTGGTAAACCATAGCTGACATGCTAGTGAAAGAGGGTATTTAAGTTGGTAAGTTTTTTCAACTGCCGAAGAACAAACAAAGAACTAGAAAGTTTTTTCTTTAACTGATTAATGTGGGCCGACCAACTGAGTTTGTTATCCATTGCAATACCAAGTAATTTTACGTTTTTTGTTTCACATTTTGAGATAATTTGATTATTGGCAGATATCTGCATATTTTGAGTTTTTTCACTGTTAAGTTTTAATTTGTTGGTTGAGAACCATGTGTTTGCTTTGTCCACAATTTCATCAAACGAAGAAATTAAATTTTTATTATTTTTGTCTCTTAAGATGAGTGTTGTATCATCAGCAAATAAAACTGATTTATTAGGTAGCATAAAACGGCTTACAGCCTGAAAATCGGAGAGAATACCATTACTCATCACAGCTTGTTGTCTGTTACTGATATATGAATTTATTAGTGCAAGCGGAATTCCCCTAACTCCATAAAAGCTTAGCTTTTCCAGGAGAATATCATGAGAGACGCAGTCGAAAGCTTTTGACAGATCGCACAACATTACTGCTGTGTGATTTCCCTGCTCAAGTTCCTCAACTACATCATTCACAACATTGAGAACAGTCTGTGTAGTAGAGCGAGAGCGTCTAAAACCATATTGGGAATTGCTGAAGAAGTTGTTTAATTCAAAATACTCACATAATTGTTTTTTAAAATATTGAAACAATACTTATGGGACGATAGTTATCAATTTTCAAGACATCACCTTTTTTGAAAATTGGTAATACTTTAGAGTATTTAAGTACTTCAGGAAATATACCAGTGGATAAAATTAAATTAATCAGTTCAGTAAATGGTTTTATTATAATATTGCAAGTCTCTTTTAAAATTTTACTATTGAGTTTGTGAGTGTCAACACATTTAGAATTTTTTGGAGAAGTAATTGCGTCAAAAACTTCAGACTCAAGAACAGGGCGGAAAAAAAATGAGCTATACGGCATAGGAAAATGTTTAAAACTCAGAAGTTCGGCTTTTGAAACATTAGGAAGATATCTTATGATATTTGCAGCAGTTGTATTAAAAAATGTATTTATTTTAGATTGTGATTTAAAATTAATATTAAAATCGCCTAATATTATTAATTTGTCAAACTTTTCTAGTAATTTTTATAATACAAGTTCAAAATTCACAAGAAAAATATCAGTAGTTCCTTTGCCAGACCTATAGACAGTTAAAATTGTAGTTTTTAAAGATGGCAGATCTACAGCAGAGAATTCTGCATTTTGTTTACTAATATATTCGCTTAAGTCAATTGGAATATATTTAAAAAATCTTTATCTTTATTTTTATGTAAATTGCTACACCCCCATGTATCATATTTGTTCTACAAAAAAACATGTTTCACTCTGCCAATGTTCAGAAATGGTCAAATCCACAAGAAAACTGTTAATCATTTCTACCTTATTAAAGATGGATTGTAAGTTTATATGAAACATACTCACCGTACTCTGCTGATTTACATTTTTTAAAACACTAAAATCTTTTAAAATATTGGAATCGTATTTCATATTTAATTCTCTTCTTCCGTTTTTTGAAGAGGCTGAAAATTTTTTCTGAAGGTAAATCTTCTTACAGCAGCTTCCTTGGGCCATATAGTTGGGTTATAAACATCATCAATTTTGTCCAACGGGAATGTTACCCTGTAGGTGGAAGAATGTTCATTTCTTCTCCACTCTACACAGGTAAAAGATATGTTAGGCGCTGTCTTTTTTAGTAAGTTAGGAATATCTTCGCAAGTCATGTCGGCTCCTATGCGAGAGACATGTACGTGTCCTTGTCGTGGTATGGTATTAAAATTTTCCGCTTCTTTGCAACCTATGATCGGTTTATTTTTATATGGCACGTTTTTATAAAATGGGAGATTCGGACTGAAGTTCCCATTTTTTGTATTATTGATATTGTGACTAGTTTTTAGTCTCTCATTATCATGATTTGGATTTGCTCTTATCGCTTGGTTGAAGGTGTTAAAAGGATTCATAGCAGGTTTTTTGTGATTTCGACTGCTAGTGGAATTATTATTAATATGAGAGGAAACTGGCAACATCGCTTTCATCTTATTAGCGATAGTAGCTCTAAATAGTATGGCCGAGACTAACCACTTATTACTATGACTGCCACTGGTATGTACGTTAGTGGGGGTATAGGCAGACCGATAATCCATGATCCATGGGTATTTTAGCTCCAAGAAATTCGTTCGTGTATGGTTCAACTTCTCTCATATCTAATCAAATGTATTTCAAGTTATTGAAGGGAATAAAAACAATTTTTAAATATTTTTTTACTTTCTTAAAAAATTAAATAACAAAATATATTTACATAAATACCTAATTTTTTTTAGGTATCGCCGTTTAAAATGTCTTTTTTTTGTGATACTAGTATTAATAATAGTGATAAGAAAATTAGTATGAACTTTGAGTCTCTCTAAATTACCTACTTATAATTTTTAAATTCAAAAATGATATGATTATCATCATAAAATCTACTTTTAGTAATGCATTCATGAAATAGTTGATACATAGTATCTCAAAAAAATTACTAGGTTTCATATTTTAAACGAAGCATTATTCATCACAGATGTAATATCTAGTAGAGTATTTACAAAATATGTCCTTATAAAAATAAAAATAATTTAAATAACGCTAAAGAATGTTGGCACAAATCATTTAATAGTTATTTGATAATTATCATTTTAATTAATTTAAAAGTTTTAACAGTCATTTGATTTAGAAAATACAGTTTGAGTTAGGATGGCAAGTACTACTGCTGCTATATAAAAAATACCTATAATCGAACCAGATGTTTTTGATAACCTAAATTTGCTAAATAATAGTATGATATACAATGAAGATGCAGCTACAATTAGTGACATAATTGTATATTCTAATGATCCTGAGTGAATTTTAATTGGTGTTTTTTGACCATTTATTAAGCTTTTTAACAACCATGACAATCCCAGTGAGTAAAGAATGTTCATGGTGTTTGCTCCTAGAGAGTTTGAGACTCCAAAACCTCCCTCTCCTGAAAATTAAAAACAGTATATTATTATCAAAAATACAAAATGTATTTACATGCCCTTCAATTTTTTTTAAATTCGAGGTGGCTATGGAAATTTGACAAATTTCACTGTATAATAATTATTGTCATATAAAAAATATCTAGAATTTTAACGGCAAAAGCAAATATTTTCTGTAAATATTTATAGAAAAAAATACAAAATATAATCCAAGCTACAGTTTATTTATATTGGTATAAATAATTTAACGTTAATGTTCATGCTACTTTTATTGATGAAGACGATGAAAATATTATAAAAGGGAATAGAGAAGCAATAAGGATGACTTATTATAAGTATGAGAAATTTTAAGGAGTGCGCTTTTATCTGATCGCATTGACTACATATTTTATATACGAGGTGGCTACTGTACAAGACCTTTTTCTTTGCAAAAATAATCATACAAATGAATAAAAACGAGTATTTGCTTATGCTTACAAAATTCAAAGTAAATGCTTTAAGGATAAATAAAATTGTAAGCAAATGCTCACAAAATAAAAGGATTTACTTTAAAAGTATGAATAAAGCCAACCATTTGCTTACAACTACGAGCATTTACTTGAGGAAAAGTGATGCTGCTGTTCAGTAGCATCGCACAGTTCGAATGGTGAAAACAAAAATAATTCAACAGGCAAGTTGTTGGATTCGGTTTCTGAAAAGTCATCGTGTCGTAATGGAAGCTAAAGAACTGTGGGCAAGTCATTTTAGATTTTCGACTGTTATTGGAGCACTGAATTGTATGCACGTGAAGATAGAAAAACCTAAAATGTGCCTTTTTTGCATCAAATCTTTGAAACTTAAAAATAAATAAAATAATATTACTTTACCTCTTCGAGCTAAAATTGTCATTGACACTGTTTCAGGTACACACCCTCCTACTGCCATGACAGTCATACCCAGTAAAGCATCTTGTAAATGGGTAATTGTACCTAGGAATTAGAAATATAAATTAGATTTTATGGGAAAAATGAGTTAAGAAATATTGTTTTAAAATCTCTCTATATACGTGAATGTATTGTCATGGTAGGGGGAGCAAAAACGGGCCATATTTTGTAATTTTGGCTATCAAATACATTATTTTAATTTTTTTAATAGTTAAAAACAATATAATGAGCGATTGGGATTGCTGTGTTTTAAATTGTAAAAACACTAGCAAAAAACAGTATAAATTTTGTAAATTACCAGTAAAAATATGGAAAATAAGTCAAAGATATAAATGGATAGCCTTTATTTTTATAACAACAATAATGATGAAAATATAGACAGAAAAGTTAAAGATTTTAAACAAACAGTTAATAAATACATTGCGATATTCTTCAACATTCCTTATATGTTCAGAAAAAACTAGCTTCCTGCTTTTGATTATTGTCGCAATTATATACGAATTCTATTAAAACTTATGCTGTCAATATACACCAATATCGACCTTCAGTTCATGCATTAGCTCTATCACGCACATAGTAAAAACTTTTCTGGATTTCACTACAAAACTACTTTCATCACGCCAGGGAACGATTGTTATTTGTTTTACTTTTTCCTGATAAATTCACAAAACAATAAGTTTAGTGCATTTAATTTGTCAACACGATTTGATTATAATGTTTTGAACAAAATTTACTATAATAAGTGATTAAATTATTAATTTTCATTTATATCTCCTAGTAGAATACCAATATTTTAATGCTAAACAACTTTTAAGTTTATTCATGAAACTCCACATTCATGATAAATAACTATTTACATTTTATTTACTTTTTTATTATTGTGAATATTAACAACCGATTGGTTTGCGTACGGAGTAGAGGTGGGGGCAGTGTTAAAAACCGTTAAAATAACTCTTAATACTAAAAATGATATAGATGAAGTTGCAGAACAATTGCAAGATGCAGCATAACATCATATCACAATAACTGTTCGCTTAAGAACAGGAAAACTTCTAGGGAGGTGAGCTGGTGGAACGCCGAACACGTAAACTTTTTAATAAGGCTAAAGAGACAAATGAGTGGGGAGAATTCACCGAAACACTCACAGAGTATAACAAAACTCTTAGAAAATCTAAGATAAATTCATGGAGAACGTGCTATCAGGAAAATGAAAATGAAAATGCAACTGAAGGATACAGACTCCACTGCATTCTAACAGAAGATCCAATTAACCCGACTTAAAAAATCCAAACAGGGGAATACACTAAAACTGGAATGGAAACATTGCAACTACTTCTTAAAACTCATTTGCCTGATTGCACAATAAACCCGAATGAAGCAAACCGAACCCACACGAACTGGAACTCTCAAAAACGAGACAACAGAGAAAGTAATATGGGCAATACGCACCTTCAATACATACAAATCACCGAAACCAAGAATAGATGGAGTATTGCCTGTGCTTCTGCAAGTTTGGTGCATTATCATATACCAAATAGCTAGAAACAAACCAGGGCGTCCTACACATGCCATAGCAAAGGTTACAGACCAATAACTCTGACGTCATTTATATTGAAAGGTTTAAAAAAACTGATTGATCAGCATTTCCGGTAAACAAACCAACATGTCTATCAATCAGGTAAATATTGAATAACCCAAAACAGACGGGGGACTCAGTAGCCAAGAAATAGTCCTAGGAGCATTTCTTGATATAAAAGGAGCTTTTAAATCAATGGTAGCTCCCGCTCGCAAACGTGGAACAGAAGATATGTTAAGCGGGCGGCAAGTACAGGCACACATGTTCAGTGAAACCATGCAGGTGAATATCCGCAGGGGATGTCCACAGGCTGGAGTCCTTTCTCCTCTACTGTAGAACCTAGTGGCAGATGAACTGCTGAAAACACTGAACAGTCAAAGGCTGTACACCCAAGAATACGCCGATGACATAGTCATCCTTATCTGAGGGAAACACCAAACTACAGTCTTTGAACTCATGCAAAGAGCTCCAAGGCTGACAGGAATGTGGTGCGTTGGGAAAAACCTCTTGGTATACCCTGCCAAGGCACAACTCATAACCTTTACTCGGCTAAACAAAATGAACCAAGTAAAAAATCTTAATCTAAACCTAGATAGCAAACTTACTTGGAACGGGCACTTACAAAAAGTGGCCAACAAATGTAAAATGTCTCTCATTGTAGGGAGACAGGCATTTGGAAACACATGGTGATTAAAACCGAAAATGGTCCACTGACTATATTTGGCAATAACAAGACCCATGATAACTTATGGAGCGGTTGTTTGGTGGCCAGAAGTAAACCACAAAACACCCTCAATGCCCTCAATGGCCTCTCAGTTTAGAGGCTGGTATGCTTTTGTATTACAGGAGCACTGAGAAGTACACCGATAGCCTTTATGGAAATCATTCTAATCGTCCGACTCCTTGACCTAATCATAAAGGGGGATGCCAGAATGTCTGCGTACAGGCTGGAGCCCTCTGGAACATATGAAATGTACCAGAATAACACATAAAGTAAATGATCCTATATTAAGCAAGGGATCAGATTATATAACCCCTGTCTAACCTTCAACAAATTCTTCCAGGTCAACCGCGACTGGAACGAGGTAAATAAGGCCGTAGAGAAATACTTAGGGGTCTCGAATTGTATGCGGCTGAATCTAAAACTAACAAGGGAACAGGCTCTGGCGTACTTGAAATTAAACCCAAATGCGATATCATCGTCTCGCTGTACCATTGTATTTCAGGCTGAAATACATGCAATAGATTAGTGTGTACGAGATAATTTAAGAAGGAAGTAGACAAAACAAACTATCTTAATTCTCTCCGATAGCCAAGCAGCCTCAAACACGATTAAGTCAAAGCTGGTCCAGAACTGCCTTGGAATACTAAATGATCTGACAACCCACAATAGGGTAAAACTAACGTGGGTACTAGGGCATAAAGATATCCATGAAAATGGCTGATGAACTCGCCAAAGAGGGAACAGAAATACCATTCACAGAACCCGAACCTGTATTTGGTATAAGCAAAACCTCTGCTCGACAGGCAGTGAACAGGTGGATAACCACAAAACACCAAATTCACTGGCAACAGATAGGAAGGCACATAATCAGTAAGCTCATGCTAAGGGTACCAAACCCACGCATAGCTACTGAGGTACTACAACTCACAAAGCCGCAGATATCCACCATTGTGGAATTACTAACAAGGCACTGATTGCTGAAACATCTTCATGTGAAGGGATTACATAATGATCCCACTGCGTGTAGACTCTGCATGGAAGAAGAAGAAACCTCATTACATGTAATATTTGAGGCGGCGGCTCGTCCTTTTCGGCCTAGAACCAAAAACAACGCCCCAGGAACACTCGGTAGGAAACTTATTAAAACTAACCATGTGTACGGGACTATTCCAAAGATAGTACCTGAATACGGGCAAAACAAGGGATCATTTTGATAATTAAGTTATATTTGAAGGTAAGGTTTTGTTTGGGTATTTTTATATTGCTATTGATATGTAAATTTTCAGTTATTTCGGAGGTTAAGTATTTGCTGCAGTGCGTGGATTAAAAAAAAAAAAACTTTGAAAATGTCCAGCACCGATTCAGCATATGATTCGTTCAATATAAATAATAAATTGAGCCCACCAAGAAAACGACCAATAAAAACTCATTTTGTTATAAAAACAAAATAAATTATTTTAAACGTTTACAAGAGCGGATTACAGGTTGATCCATCAATACTCTTAGGTGAAATAGCTGCAAGAGTAGCAGAAAAAACAGATGTCTGTAGTCGCAGTGTTCGAAAAGTGATTAGTGAACATAAAAAAATCAAGAAATTTTTCTGTGCCAAAAAAAATTATGAATCGGAAAAATACATTTGGACGCACTTTAGGATTTTAATAAAAATTCTATCTGCAGAAAGGTTCACGAGTTCTTCGTTAGAAACGAAATTCAACGATTGATAAAGTACAGCTTTTTAATGGATCAAGAGGAAATAAAATGTTGAAGAAGGGACTAGTTAATACAAATTAGAAACTATAGAAACCAAAACAAAACTATTTATTATCTGGATGAAACTTGGATAAAAGCTAAGCCATACGAAATCCAAAGTTTGGGTTGACGAGACAGTGACATCTACTAGACAAGCATTTTTAGATAATCTTTGAACAGGTTTAAAACATCCTACAGGTGAGAATCTAACCATTTTGATTAAATTATAGGCAAAAAGACTTATTGTGTGTCATATTGGAAGCAGCAATGGATTTCTTTCAAATAGACTATGGGCATTTGAGTCACAGAAAAGTGGCGACTACTAGCATGAAGAAATTGATGGCGCATCATTTGAATAATGGTTTTTGAACATACTACCTAAGCTAGAGCAGAATTATGTTATTGTACTAGACAATTGACCATATTATTCTAGAAAGTTAGAAAAAATCCCAACTACGGCCTCCAAAAAAGCTGATATTCAAAATTAGCTTCGATCCAAAAATATTTCATTTGATAATTCAATGATAAAATCCCCTTTACGTATAGTAAATCAACATAAAAATAACAGTTACGCTATCAACTAAATGGCACAGGAACATAATAAAATTGTGTTAAGATTACCTTACTACTGCGAATTTAATCCATTAGAGGTCATTTGGGCAGATGTGAAACAATTTGTAGCCAATAAAAATGACAACTTTTAAATTTTCAGACATGAAAAATATTTTTCAAGAGGCCATTTTAAATATTCCTCCAGAAAATAGAGCCCAAAATGTGGAAGCTTGACAATATAATTGAATGACCCTTGTAATCAATATAAATAATAGCAGTTCTTCCAGTGATTGTGATACTGAGTCCTGAGTATGTATCTATTTTATAATATTGTTATTTATCGTTTAATTAATTTAGTTTGTAATAATTTAATAAATAATCCTGTTTTTCAAGATGTTTTTTTTTGTGAATTTTTTTCTTTTATTTACTTTTTTAAATAAACACTCAATAGTTGTATTACATTTTTACAAATATTGTAATAGCACAATACTTAGTGCGCCCCTGGAATCTTTTAGAGAATCACGCGGCAGTTTCATGCTTTATTTACAGCTTTGGAATATGGAATTTGAATTTGGTATATTCATAATTAGAAAAATATTGTATGTAACATGTTTAAATAGCGGGACCTTTATTCGACCTGCAAATATTCACTCGTTACATAAAATACAGCATTTCGTAACTGGTTTCATAAATAGCTATTTTGATAATCGAAAATCAATACTTACCAATAATACTAATCATCCAAGATACAACATATGAGTTAGCACCAATCCAAACTATACACATGAGAAAAGTAATAGGAAATAAACTTGGATGCACTGTTGGATTCGGTACAGTGTACTTAAGGAGCAACTTTAATGGCCAAGTATAATAGAACATAAATTTTTGAAAAATGTTGCCCGTCGGTTTTCTAAAGATGGATTTTTCTGCCTCTGAAAATATATTTAAAATTCATTTATTTAAATGCATTGTTAAAACGTGTTATAAATTACAAGTTATGTTTTTGATAAAATGTTTGTGTTTAAATAAAAATAGGTATTCGACTAAGAGCGTGTGCCTTCCACGCGGAAGTCCTGGGATCGAATCTTGGTTGGGAAATAATTAATTTAAATCTTTCTTTTATTTCATAAATTAATAAAATTCATAAATTATTTTAAAATGAGTCATTTTGTCTTAATAACCTAAAATAATTTTATAAATATGTAGATTTTCGTTAGTAGGTCGTAAAAAATATACTCTAGAACTTGAGTGGATTGCCCATATTCCACTCTTGCTGCACAAACTACTATTAAAGCAGACATTGTTTTACCAACACGCATCTTAAGTATGTTGAAAAAACACTATTGAAAATGCAAAATTCTAGTTATAGTGTCAAAATAAATTCAAAAGCCTACCAATTTTTAAACTAAAATAGTATTACAGTTTTCTACACTACCGACTGAGTATTAGTTGCACAAAACTATCCTATATATCGCTGAAGGCAAACGTATTGCCAAATTTCTATAAAGAATCGACAACTCTTAATTATCTTTCTTTCATGATCTTACCTTTCTTAACTTCTTCTTGAATAGTTTCTAAAACCTTCTGATGTTCATTTTCATAATTTTGGTCGCCGGTTCCATCCATGTACGTACCATAAGCGGAAATGTGCGACACTTTACGAACATGTTCATCGTTTATATTATGACTTTTTATTTCCTTTTCTACACTTTCGATGACTTCTTTGAGTTGGTCATTGGCAGTTGTGACGTTAATTTCGTTTTTGTTTACTAATTTTCTAACGAACTTGGAAATCCGCTTGTTATTGATCATTATGACGAAGTAGATAATAAAGAACACAAGAGAAATGAGAGTTTCGTACCAATAAATGTTTCCATCCAATGTAATATAAATTAAAATGCTAACCGCGATAATGTAAATAATTGTGTCTCGAGTAAGAGGGTACCAATCAAGTTGTAGTGGCTAAAAGTTAAAAAAAAAACAGATTATTACTATAGGTGCTACTCATTTTAAATATTACGTTAATAAATAAGACCATGAATATGCCTTCACGTATACTACCGTGTTAATTCAAATGGCCGTAACTACAATTATCCTTGGCATGGCAGTAATGTATTTTTTATCCATCTCTATAACTTTCATGGACGTATCTTCTGTAAAGCCCGAGGTTTGAAGCTTAGAAATTTGGGCGTAAGTGATTTTTCTGGACACTTATTAAATCGAAAAGCTGCAAATGTGAGTGATAAAAGCCGCAACTACAAAGATTTTTATAGATGCGGCTTTTTCACCTAACTTTATTATTTATTTATTTTACTCAGAACTTCCCTCAATATAAAAACAGGGAACTCCTAAGCACTTACATTTTACGAACGTGACGAAGAACGGGTTGGATCAAGAGGAAAATCGAGAAAACCCTTTTCACCGTTATTAAACGATAGTGATTGTCTGCTTTTAAAGTTACAAAAACCAAAAGAAAGCTTTTTTTATTTATATTCTAGGGGGACTCTATTTGATTAAATACGATTTGTTTGGTGTTATTTTGACTTTTTAAAAACTTATTTGGGATTTCACTTTTAAAAATAAATTATTTTTTTAAAACTGTTCACCCTGTATATAACTGACCAAAAGTATAACTGATCTAGAAAGGAACCTTATTTGTGTACAAAATTTGAAGTTTTTCTAAACCCCGTTTTTAAGCCATCGAGCCAACAGAAAGACAGACGGAAAACATGTTTTTTGTAATCTGGAGATACTGAAACGTGAAAATTTTAACTGGGAGGGTGACTTTTTTACTATTACGATACTTCCCTCTCATCAAGGGAAGTAAAAAACAATAATGAAAATACGGTCCAATTATCCCATAAAATCTACTGAAATTCTGGTCAAGTATTTCAGTACGTTCTTTAAATAAATGCAGAATTATTAGAAATACTATGCATTTTTAAGTTGTGGAGTAACATTTAATATTTATTTTTTATAGTTCAAATAAATATTATAAAAATCACACTTTTTAGTTTTATTTATAAATCTGTATAAATAAGTTTATTTTATTAAAAAAGTTGCCTAAAAAAAGATAATTTTAATGAATCATGTGGTTACGCATCCTTGAATATAGGAGGAAGCATGAAAAATGTTAGATGAAAAAGACGTATCTGTCAAAAGTACGATTTTTTTACTTCATTTTGTGACATAAAAATAAATCATATATTTGAAAAACCACGATGGCCCAAAAAAAACAAAAAAATCAATTTTGCTCACGTATAAGTATTAAACAGGTACGGCATTTGAATTAACACGGCAGTATAACATGGCAACTTTATTTTAAATTTAAGTAACCAAAATACCATTAGACTGTAATGTATGTATAAGGAGAAGCAATAAATATTTGAAAATAACTGACATGACAAATAATACAAGAAACATTGCAAGACAATTTTTTTAGGTGTTCAACTTAGTAGGATAGTAGTTTTTACTTTAATAGCATAAAATAATTATTAAAATGAAAATAATCCTAAAGGCATGCGTCACAATAACATGGGCGGTCATTTCTCTTTTGACAACAACTACTTCTTTGCCAATTCCTCACCAGGTATTGAGTTACGTCATAAGAACAAAGCAAAGATAAAAAATATTTTAAAATCTCTACCTTTAATTTTGCTCACTAAGTAGAAAGTCATTCTTGGACCCGTTTCGTCATTAGGACTCTTTAACAAGGAATAGAAAATTTCAACTCCAGTCTCTAATGGAGTCTGATGGCAATACGAAATTTACTCGAATACATTAACAGCGAGTTAAACATGTGTAGATATATAATGAATAAAAATGGTATCGGCGTCTGTACTAATCAAGCAAAATTAAAGTTCAGATACTAGGTGGAATAAAAGCCAGGCGGGCTATTCTTAAAAAAGGAAATAATTATCTTTTGACAATAACTACTCCTTTGGATAATACCTTACCAGGTATTAAATTACGTCAAAAGAAAAAATGGGTGGCACAATATTGATCGAAAAAAATTTGATCGAAATGAAAATTTGATCAAAAATACATTTTATCGAATAGCATTTGATCGAAAATACATTTGATCGAAAATCAACATTAAAAATAGTAAAATATAAAAAAATTCAAACGTTACCATGCTCCCGTCCGTCTAATTCCTACTACTAGGGAAACTAAACTCAGCTGCTATCAAATTAGGTACTAATGGCAATTTTTTTTGATAATTTCAAACGATAGTTACCTCGTTTAACAAATTTTATCCTCATATACTGTTAAATTAAAAATGATTATTTCCCTCATGCAAAGTATAATCAATTAGAAAAGTTAAATTTGCACCACGTGACCCGTTTAGATAATCGATTAAAGAGCAGTTTTGCCGCGGTTGAACTAATACCATCTTTTTGCTTTGCTTTTAAACGAAATATGTATGAGGGGGAACTAGTAGTTTTATTTAATATCATTTAGATAGCATAAAATAAGCGTATACATATAAATATAATACAAAAACAGCTTTTAAAATGATTTTTGAGTGATTTAGTTTTGACGTTTTCGGTGTTTATATCACAAATTTTAATAAAAATCATAAATCTAGGAGGCCCATGCCTTCAAACAAACCTCCGTGTTTTACATCTATCAACTTTAATTTTATTATTTTGACATTTTCAATAGTAGGTAACAATTAATTTAAATATTTTGAACAGTCGAAATGTGTGAAACACGCAGGTTTGGAGGTTTATCAACCTGTTTATGATCTCTGTTTATTGTTTTCTAATAAAAATTCTTTAGTTCAAGCTAATTTTTTTATTCGTGAAATAATCTTAACATATACCCTTCGTGCATCTAATTTAATAGATCAAACTATACTCAAACATTATTTTTTATATTTTGCTTTGTACATAGTAAATGCTTTCGTGTATAATAATTTTAGATAAATCCCTTCGACCTACGGTCTCGACAATTTATCAAATTATTATACACTTAAGTCATTTACTAAACAAAATAATGTTTTCGTATAAAGTTAAATCAATTAAATTAGACGCACTTATGATATAATCCTTGAATATTTTAGAGCTAAACGGTTATTTATCTTCATTGAGATTAAAGCATTGTGGTTAATTCGCACAAAATATGTATTTCAATAAGGTCGAGTTGTCTCCCGATGGGACATTTTAGGTAGATCAATTTAAGTTTTTTTTTTATAAAAAATGTAATTAATTTACCTAACCTGTGCATCCTGGAGCCGTCGAAGGTTGCTTCGTAAAAAAATTTGTTACAATCAGATTTTGCAATTTTTTAATTACGTCACTTTATTAAACATTTTCGTTTATTTTCATTTCTCTGAAATAACAAATAATATTTATTTGACACATTTTTAATATTTCATCTTTTTACTACTTTTGTTTTCTGAGTGTAGAGTAATATTGTAAGAATTTCTTGTTTAATTCAAATATATTCACATCTACTGTTCGACAGACGAAGACTGTGACATGATGGATACGTTCTGTTGATGATTAGTAACTCTGTAATTTATAAATCGATTATGGGGTAGCGTTCGATATGATTGTTATTTTAAGGATGTATTATATGTATTATAATTAGAAATGTTTTATAAGAGGTTCATCTTTATTAGGATTTAGTTGATCCAGCAGATAACAATATTAATTCTTGTAAATAACTCGTTGTGGTTACTTATCGATGTATCGGAATGTAAATCGATTATCGATTTGTATGGTGGTCAGATTCAAAACTATTCGATTTGTAGATATCGAATTTTGGTAAGAAGACTCATGCATTTTTCGTTCGTAGTTATATTTTATGCATTTGGAGATTTTTGGTATTGCATAATAATTAAAACCGCCTTTAGTGTTGGGATTGCGGGATTTGAACCCCTCACATATTTTTTTAAAATACAGTTGAATTCTGGATTTGACTAATG